GTGCCACCTCGGCGGCCAAGTCCTTCGCCAGTGACTACCAGCCGTAAGAGATCTCTATCGTCTGATGGAGATATCAACAAAGCCTTGTCTCGGAAGCTTACAGCAACTAAGATCCCGGACCACCATGGTCTAAGTGATTTCTACGCCGTTGGGAATGAGGAGGTAAAAAGACCGTACCTTAAGTTAAAAACATTCGACCCAAAGAAAACTGAGATACCCCGGTCAAGCAAGCGGTATATTCCGCCCAAGAGACGTAGCGATAAAGAGTCGGCGTGCTCTCGCTTAGAAGAGCTATACAATAAGAAGCTTCAACGGATCAAGGGGCCCCCAGTCCGGTTTAAGGCTGGCAAGATCGCAAAAGAGATCGATTTTAATTTTGATTTTATTGACTCCTATAAAATTCACAGCGGGGTTAATCAGATTGATCCGGAGTTCCTATGGGGCTGCGATTGTACGAAATGTGATGCTGAATGCGACTGCCTCTCTAAAGACCTAATTCATTATGAGAAGGGTCAACGTGTACGGGCTGTCTTAAAGTCAGAGATCCTGAATAAGCGTACGGCATTGATCCGAGAATGCTCGTCACGCTGCAAATGTTCTGGAGTCAACTGCTGGAATCATGTTGTCTTCCGTGGGCGACAAGTTGAATTGGAGGTTTTCCAGACCAAGAACCGGGGTTTTGGAGTCCGCTCGCCTCATTCTATAGAGCGAGGGCAGTTCATTGACACTTATGTCGGCGAGGTCATTGAGCCGTCCACTAGCGATGCCAGAGAAGAAGCAATTGACGTGGAAAAATACTCAAGCTACTTGTTCTCACTCGACTACTTCCCTGCTGAGGAGTATGAGAAGGAGAAGGATATCTATGTCGTTGACGGACGCAAGTTTGGTTCAATTACCAGGTTCATTAACCACTCCTGCAACCCAAACTGCAAGATGTTTCCTGCCACTCAGACAGACGACCATGGGGTCTATCAACTTGCGTTCTTTGCGGTCCGTGACATACCGGCTGGCACTGAGTTGACGTTTGACTATCATCCTGGCTGGGAAGGAGGTGATGTTGACCCAGACGCGACGAAGTGTCTCTGTGGAGAGAAAAACTGCCGTGGCCAGCTCTGGCCGGCAAAACGGAAAACCACACGGCCTGGTGAAGATAGTTCTTCTGGCGAATCTTCCGAGGAGTCTGAGGATGATGAATGAGGATGCACACTCTTCAATACTTGATCTACAGCCTTCGCCTTGCATATCCAGTCACCTTCATACTTGGATGTATCTTGGGTTGCTGATTCTGTCTTGTCCTTCTTCTTTTAGCGCTGTCCGATTAGCTTAGCCCGAGCGTTCTTGTCGTTTTCTTTCAACTGTCTTGAAGCTATTACTACTACTACTACTACTGTACACCTAGCATGATACCCACGGTTTTCGGATTTACCTCATTCACTGCATATGTGGAGTTGAAAGGACATCGAATGAGATTTTATCTTGGTTTCAATGAGTATTTCTGCATTAAAGTGTTGCCTATCTTCTGTCTTATCCGGGTTCTAGGAAACAATCGTAGACCAAGGGAAGAAAAAGGGGTAATGGTAAATAAAAAGGGGAGAGAAGGAGAAAAGGCGAGGATAGGGCATCAGATACACTGATATAGGAAATGTTATACCTATGAATATCCTGGTATCATACAACGTTTCAAAAAGGATAAATTAAAAAGGAGAGAAAAAAAAATCGAGGAATGGAGGAACAACAGAGAAAGGAAAGGAACAGAGGAAACCGGCCCTATTTACCAAACCGAGCCTTCATTTGGAGGTAATAGGGCTGTTTTATGACTCGATGGTTAGGCTCTTAACGCAAAACAGCGTTTTTCATATCAATATGGTAACAGCAGAGTGTATCCGTATCCGTCGTCTCTGAACAAAACGGGGACATTGTATAATGGGGTGGGTGGGCGTGAGGTCGTAAAGTTTCGAATATATATATATAGAGAGAGCGCGCCTTAAGCGGAACCCTCCATGACTTCGGCAATTCCCCCCATGACGAATCGCGGGGACTGGCGAGCTGATAGGGGTGAGAGTAGCGCAGAAGGCTCTTTGAGGTCTGAGGTGACGCTCGACAGGTTGTTCGAGGAGTCAATGTGAGCATGGCCATCGGCCATGAGCGGCATGGGGTCAACGGGACGCGGTTCCAGCAGACCCAGCCCACGTCGTTCGATCGAATCTTCGGTGCATCGGTAGCGCTCCTCTGTGAGCGCCAGGTCGACGTTAGATGGACGGCGGCGCAGCAGGATGGTCCCCATGCCGAGCGAGGAGGACGAATAGCACTTCTTGCTCCGGCTGCCGATCCGACGGAGCGAAGAGGTGAATCTGTTCATGCGCGGAGAGGCGCTGATGGGGCTAGAAGTAGGCGAGGAGGCCGGGCTGGAGGTTGCTGAGGTCAGAGGGGATGGGCGGTCCGAGTCGACCTCGCTGCCGACGGTCGACCTGGGCGAGTACGGGATGGTCAGGGAGGGAGCCATCTCCGTCCATGGCGAGGGCAGCAGCTGGCTGAGATAGCGAGTGTGTTCGTCCATCTTGGACTCGCTGGTCTCGATGGCCTCGAACAGGCTGATCAGGTCGTGGACGGCTGGTTTAGATGCCATTTATATGTATCTTCCGTCCAGCCGGGGGGTCCAGGCAGTGGCTGGTCTCTCTTTTTTTATTTTTGGGTTCTTTGTCTCAAGCTCGAGCTTGTGCTCTCTTTCTCTCTTGAGTCTTGCGGTGTATAATATAGGGTCTTATAGGTAACTAGCTGGCCCCCCTGGCGGAGTATTATTCAATGTCCGTTTGCCCTTGGGTTCACGGTATGAAGCGAGGAAGTAGAGGCGCTGCCTGGTCTGTTTCGGGCCTGCCCAAGGCCTTCTTCGGCTTCAAAGCAGCTGGTGCACACGGAGATTATACTGTCTGATATCAAGCTGGTCGAATAATAACGCCCCGTCGTCGCAAGGAAAAAACGCTGCTCTCTCTCTCTCTCTCTGTCTCTGTGTGTGTGTATCTTCTGCTGGCTCTCTCTGTAATCTGTAATATTATAATCAACGGATCGACCGTAGTAGGCAGCTCGACCGGCAGCAGCGTCCTTTGCGTCTTCTCAGCGGTTCCCAGCCAGGAGAAGGAGAGAAGAGGGACGGAGAAGGGCCCTCTCAGAGGGTCGCGCAGGGAGCAGTTTTGTATATATACGAATATATATATAGAAGTGATAAGTGTTTAGGCAACGATGAGCCGTGATTAAGTATATCGCAGAATCGATCGCTGCCTGGTTGGGTGAAAAAGCAACGGCCGACTAGCTGAATCGCAACCAGAGAACGGGCAGACAGGAAGACGCTCGACTTCAGCAGCAGCACCGGGGACGAAACCGATCAGAGGAAGCAGACGAAGATGCCATCATGCATGCAGGGGCAAGAGACATGAGGAAAAGCGGGAGTCGAGGATGAAACGAGCCCGCGTAGATCATGATACCTGCAGTGGATCTCTCATCTTCCTCGCCCTCGCGAGCCACACACGGCCATGTATCAAATAGTTATCGCCCGCCAGGCCAGCTTAACAGCCGTTGGCGACGGAGCAGATGGATAACCGCCGTCCACGGCATCAGCAACGGGCCTTGTTTCTTCTGCTTCTATCTCTCGCTGTCTCGTTTCTGCTGCTCGTCTGTCCTCCCCCCGCCCCGTCTCGAGCTGCTCCCAGGCACCTAAGACACTCTTCTGCAGAGAAACCGGCCTCGCCCTGGCACAAGCAAGCAACCCTGCCATGGACGGACCAGTTTAGTTTCAATTCCAACCCCCGGTCCATGTGGGATCCAGGGCCCGGCAGGAGACGCAGCCTGCCATTGGGCGGTTTCGTGATTTCCCGGGTCGTTTATTGGCCGCGGCTGTGCGACTATTTGCCTGGGATGAGAGCGATATCAGCTTGGTTGGCGGGCCTTCGTTATATATCGGGGAGAGGCCAGAGAGGGCCAGACAGCCCCTTTCTCTCCCGCCTCGCTGGGTCTAGGGGAAGAGAGTTAGATGAGTTAATAGCAAGTAGCTGATAGACTCGTCTCCGGCTCAGCCACCTTCCCCAGCGCCAGGGCGGTCCGCTGGCTGGGCCTGTCTGAGGGCTGACCGGTCTGCGGTTTTGGATGGAGCTGGTTACGAATCTCTGCGTGTTTGATCTTCGGGCTCACGAAGAAGAGAGCAATAACTCGCTGCTAGGCCGGTTGCTTGCACGGAGTACGAGCCAGGCAGTCAGACAGTCATGATGCCAGGAAACTATTATTAGGAATTATTGGCAGGGTGGAAGTGAAGGCTAACTATGGTATATACACCAAAAGGTAAAGAAGCAAACAAACAAACAGCTGTCTAAGGCGAGGTCGAACACACGCGCTGCACTTGGATGGAAGGATGTGTGTCTTATGCGGCGAATCTGCAACGGGGACAACAGGGATATGATAGTTAATAGCAAAGAAAACTCCCAAAGCTCTAGTAAACAACTTGTCAAACCGTCAAGAATACTTCCAGGCTGAAAAAAAAAAGAAAAGGAGAATCAAAGGATGGGAACAAGTTGGAGTTATCAGCACATATACAAGAAAAGAACATGGTAATAAAAAGGGGGGGGAGGGTAAAAATCAAAGCGTCTCGTCCGTTAACAAGAAATGAAGAAAAGGGGGGGGGGGGAAGGAGAAGAAAAACTCGAACAAGAACTCCCATGAGATCCCATTTTCGCTGCTGTCAAGGGAGGTCTCATATGCATTACTGTATAGGCGGAACAGAGACCAAGTTCTTTTTTTTTTTAGTTTTTGCATCTTGGGATTGGTTCATGGTTTGTTTGTTTTTTTTTGGTTTCCCCGGATGAGTTGGTCATGTCTGTCGTTTCTGCATTTCCCCATACTAAGGGGAGTATCCACAAGGGGTTTGATAGGTGTTTTCACGTTGGTAGTAGAGGTAACTCGAGGGTAAAAGAAGTTGAAGAAGAAAGGTGAAAGTAAAGGCTGGGTGACTGCGCCTACTCGCCCGCTGAGCCGTGGGACCGACGACGGGTGAAGCTTCGTCTGATACTCTCGCCCCATACGGAGTGATCGAAGGAGTCCAGCACGCCTTGTACGCTCACAGAACTGTCACCGCGTTGGTGGCCATGCCCTTCACCCGACTCATCGCGAGGCACACTGCTATCATACGGGGTAGTAGGACTTTGAGGCGTCAGAGAAGGATTGAAGTTACCCCAGTCGGAATGTGTGGGTGACGGGAGCCTATGAGCCTCGTCGCCAAACATGTTGGTCTCGATCTTTGGAAGAGCAATGCGTGGGGCTTTCCGGCTTGGGGACCCTTCCGGGGATCTTGCACGGTCTTCTGATGCTCGTCTCGATTGATCCTCGTCCATGTGGCCGTCCTCGTCCTCGACATATATCTCCGGAACAGAGAACTGTGGTACCGAGACCAGGCGAGAGTCATGGCGTGCTTGGATACGTTGTCGGAATCGCCTTGACCAATAGAGCGTGTTGAAGAATCCAACGACCACGTTTCGGCGGACAGCTTCCTCGACTCGCTGTAGACGGGCACGTCGCCGTAGGAACTCTTCCAGCCTGGATTCCGTTGTTAGCTTGTCAAGTTCCCACAAGCAGAGTGGATCACCAAAAAACAAAAAGCTTACCTCAAACTCTTGCTGTCAGTGATAACATTGTAATGAGCAAGGATCATAAGACATGAAGTAAAAGATATTCCTCGTTCTGGATCAGATGAAACTAGCACTTCCTCATAAAAGGCGTTCAAGCGTGCACGTCTTTTGCGTATTTCGGCAACTGGGAGATGGGAAAGACGGAGCATAAGCTTCTTAAGATCTAGTTCACCCACAGATCGAGAATGCGATATTTCTGATTCTCGAACGTTGACACGACAGTCTTCTAGAATGCGGCCGACTGTAAAATCCCCTTCGTATATACGCATCTCGAACACACCAGAAAGTTCCTATACATAAAGCGTTAACAAACCATTAAATCAAAATTTAATTGAACAGTCGGAATGAGACTTACCCCTAAAAGCCTTGGGAAGGCCTCCTTTGAAATATACCCCGTTCCGTCAGGGTCAAAGGTAGACCACGCCTGTTTGAAACGACGGATTTCATCTCTGCTGATCGCATAAAGGCCACTGCTTCGTTGATAGACGTAGGAAAAGCTCTCGAAGATGAGCGAGACAAATAGAGAGACAAAGATGTACATGCTCAGAATGTTCCATGAGATAAGCAGCGTGCGAGCCCAGGCGGCACTGCCACAGTCGCTCCTGTAGAAATTCTCGCCTAGTGTGCAGTAAGGAGGCTCCATCGTTGCGAAGTCTTCCATAATTTGATTCCACCCTTCACCACAACTCATGCGGAATAGAAGGATTAGCGCTTTAGGTACGCTTCTGAAATTGAGATTGCCCGTTTCAGAGCCCCCGAATTTGGTCAAGCCGAAAATCTGAGTCAATGCTATGGCGTAAACGAGGAAAAGGATAAACCAGGTGGCCAACAGGTTACCGATCGATGTCAAACTAGCCGCAGCAGTCTTGAAGAGCTGGTCAAGTTGATTGTTGCGTGGTATAATGAGAAGTGCAATGGACACCAGGAATAGTTTATGAAGCTGGGCGAAGACTATGCTTTTATCATTGATCAGGGCAAGTAGTGTCGTGATAAAGGTTCCTACTACTGATAGAATGGAGTAGAGATCCCATGAGCTGCGGCGGAACCGAGACCAAGTTAAGCCGACAAGACGGATGACAACGTTTGCGATATAGAATAGGGTGAGGAAGAGGAACAGGGCGTCTCTTGTCTTCTCCCACCAATCAACTTCCGGGTAAAATTCGAGAACCAGGAGAACAAGGTGGACCAGGAGCAACCCCGTGATAAACCTAGCCCATCTCCCATGTTTTTTAACCGCAACGCGATAGCACCACGCTTTGAATTTGCTATTGTCCTTGCTAAGAGATCGCTTAGAAGGGGATATCTGCTTCAGAAGCTTGCGCAATTCTAGCCACGACCGTTGTTCTGCCGTCAAGAAGGCCACGCCAGTTTGTTCCGTATAGTTTCGCATGAAGACAGAGACGAACAGAGTAAGGACGAAAACTGCACCGAGCAGGTTGAACACCACGAAGAATAAGCCGTTCGCTTGGGATGAAAACGGCTGAGGCTGTTTATCCACGCCAGTGATACTCATGGCATTCCATAACACATCAGTCCACCCTTCCTGAGACACAATCTGGAAAAGGATGAACAGGGAACTTCCGAAGTTGTCGAAGCTGTAGAATGGGTTGTGTACGGCTCGAGGTGCAAGTACCTGCCATTGGAATTGAGAGCTTTTATATTCGCCAACACAATGTGCCAGGGAAACATAGCCGAAATCCCCGTCGTTGCATTGTTTCATTTTTCCATTGAAAAGATTCAAACCATAAATGGCGAATGGAATGAGGAAACTCATGGAAACAAAAGCAGCCTAATAGACACTCTGTTAGTCTCTATACTGTAATTGGGTGCTATGTGCCACGTACCGAAATGACTTTCCATCCACCCATTACTATCACAGAATGGAACGTTTCTCTTGCGCTCTCGCTGACATTCAACAGCCTTAATGCTCTGAGTGCCCTAAATGCACCAACAACTCGCGAAACATCTCCCGTCTTGTACAAAGCAGCCACAACGTTCACCCACAAAGTGATAAGGACAATACCATCAATGAAGCCCCAGGATCCACGGAAGTAGGCATTTGGTGTCCAGAAAAAGCCGTCTGCTATCACCTTGATAACAGCCTCAACACTGAAAAGAATAGCAAACCATAGATCCGTCCATACAAACCAATTGTGGATGCCGGGGCCATGCGTCTCAAAGTACGTGCGTTGGTACAATGGAGTGCAGATACAAGCGATTAGCACCATTGAAACAATGGCAGCGTATATGAATGCTGAAAAAAGGTACCACACTGGTTTGTATGGATCCACCCCTTCAATACGGGATTTTCCACGACCCGGTCCTACCATTCGTTGACAAATTCGGCGGATAGGATTAGAGGGTGTAAAAATATAGAGAGAAACATTGTACTTTGGGTATCTTTGGAGGTATTGTCGTTGGGCTCGTTTTCTTTGTTCAGCAGCTGAGAGGACTTCTTTTGCCATTGCTGCTGGGTCTAGTTCGTCATGGTCCCTTGAGAACTTGAGTTTCGAATAAAAGGGGTTCGGCTCCCGGTTCAACATACGCTCTGTTAACTTGTTGAAGATACGGGAAAAGAATCCTGGCTGCACTGCCTGTTGTTCCGGCGGGTGTTCAGTAGGCTGGGTTTCCATGGGCCGTAGGGGTGATGTCTCGTCTAAGAAGTCTTGAACCACAGCCTCTTTTAGAAGCATCTCAAGTGCAGCAGGGCCGTGATCAAGTGGGTCTCGATATCGTTCACGGCCACGGCCAAACTTAAATATGCTGGACAAGGCAAGATTCCCATGGGATGATTCGCTCACTTGTTTCTGTTGCAAGAATGCTCTGATCTGATAGAGCCGTTTCTCATCTTCAGAAATATCAAAACTTTCCTGGATGACAGCAATAAACATGTTCAGCACGACGAAGTTAGCGAGCACAAACCACATGATGAAAAAGGCTGCTGAAATCCAGGCTGTGCCTCTAGGGCTATTAGCTTCGGTAGCCGAATATAGAATGGAGGTCCAATTCTCGCTGGAGAGGATCTGATACATCCCCAGGAACGAGTTATATATATTGGAGAATGTAGTTCGAGTAACTTCGCCGTCTGAGTCCATGGCAGGTATCTGGTCACGGAACAATTGGACAGCAAATATGGAGGTGAGAAAAGTGATCAAAAACACGAAGATAATGAGGTTAAATAGACCGACGATGTTGCTAAACACAGTCATGATAAGGGTTCTCGTCAACGAAAAGGCCAGTACTATCCGATACACACGGAGTACCTGGAAGATGGATAATGCTGCGTAGACGCTGCCCGACGAGCGGATGGGAGGGATTTGCATCACCATTGTGATGATGGCAAGGATGAGATCAGCCCAGTTCTGCCGGGATTTAAAGAAATTTCGCCAATCTACCCCAATGCGGAAACAAATTTCGATAAAGAGGATGACGGTGACGGCAGATTCCGTGCTATCAATAAGCTCTTTGCGGTTGGAGCTCATCGAGGAGCTCCTTAGGCATTGAACTATTAGACCGAATGCTATTATGCCGATCCAAAGGTAGTTTGTCCGGTTAAAGAGCCGTTTTAGTTTGCTGACTCTGCGAAAAGACGTATCCTCTGGTCCAACATCGTCGATTCTATCAGCAGTAAAAGCGCTTCGCTTGCTTTCTTCTCGGATAACTTGAAAGGACGAGGTGATAACAGCCACTAGCAAGTTGACGAGCCATAAACTCAGGAAGATGAAACCGGCAATGAAGAAGAGGGAGGCAGCAAGGTAATCGCTGTCTGTGGTAAAGTAAAGGAGGTCGGAAAAGGTATTTGAGCTCATTAAAACGAACACAAGTTCGAGAGAGTGCAACACATCGTCGAAACTTATGGTGCCTGCATATGGATTACTGCCCTCGATGCATAGAGACCCCTGGGGGCAGAGATGCCCTTTTGGAGTTGTCGTTCCGTTTCTCCCGTTGGCATGGATCCAGGGTTTAGCTAGGCCAGTGACATTGTCTAGGTGGCCTCCACAGAACTGAACTGTATCCGGAGCTTGGTTGAAGGTGAAATTGCTTACACCCAATGGATCCACCCAGACACAAGTTCGACGAAGACTAGATTTAAAGCTCTGGACTCCGATGATGGCAAAGAGAAGCCAGAAAAAGCATATAAAGAATGCAACATTGACTAGAAGAGGTGCTGCTTTTTTTAAACTTCGAAGAATCACCTAGAAAAGCGTTAGCAGCAATACGGAATGGATAATCTGGAAAGGGATAACTAGAATTCATACAGTTGTTCCACTTGTCAAAGCAAGAAGACGAAGAATCCGGAGACTGCTTAGCATTTTAAATATGTAAATGTGGTGGTTTGTGTCGATGGACAAGACGGACAAAGCAAATGCAATCCAGTATGACACAACGGCTAGAAAATCCAGCCTATTGAATGAATGTCGTAGAAAAGCTCGGCGGGCAAGCCGGATACGCTGCTGTTGTCGACTATCTCCAACTTCATCTGCTTGTTGTTGCATCGTGGTAAATGATCTGATAATAGACATTTGCTGAGGATCTGCAGGTTTCTTTGTTGATGGCTGCCGCTGCAACGAAAACAGCTCTCTTGTTTTTATCATTACAGCATTCCGAAACCCTGCTGAACGGTCAAGAGTACTGTATTCTTCGGGGTTGAGAATGAATCCCGAAACAATTGTCCTGGCTATCAATTCAAGGGTATATATGATGAAAATTGCTAGGAAGAGGATGTCGACAACGGGAGAAGACCAGCTTCCTTTTCGGCCAGTGTGAACGGATGATTCAATGGCTAGTAGAATTGTCTGGATAATGATAAGAATCAGAATTATTGGCTCCGTTGCGGGATGCACCAGGAGTTCACACAGCCATTTCCTGACCGGGTTGTCTGCCGAGAATATGCCCAATGCTTTACCCCTTAATGGACTTATGGCCGGATGTCCATGTTTCCGTTTTGCTTTTGGAGGCCTTTTTTCTGGCCCCCCCTCATTTAAGGTCTCTGAGGAAGCAACATCATGCGCATATTCTAACATGGCGGGTAAAGAGGGGGGTTCATCCATGCGGGCATGCTTAAGTACTGATTTCTGTCTCATAACACTTTCGATAACCTCCGGTTCATTACTTAGGTTGACAACACGCTGAGAGACCATTCTCATCATGGAGCTTGCCCTAGACAAAGCTGATGAAGGAGAAGGAGAGGGTGAAAGCCGCCCTGTAGCAGATCGATGTGAGTTCCGTACGCTGCTTCGCCCCGACCGAAGACCGCCCTCCAAGTCATCTCCCAGGTGAGAACCACCTCCTGTAGCACTTCCAGCAAAATGAACACTTCGGCCTTCATTGGAATTCCGTTTGACCTGGGCCTGTGCATCCGGGACAGAAGCGCCACTAATTGGCTGTAAATATCGCGAATCCGTAAGGGGCAACGAATCATTCTCCCCGGCGAACGATCCCGATCCATTCTGGCCCACCGTATCCTCAGAAGCACCGAAATAGCTGTTATAATCACTCCTTCCGACCCGTCCATCAAGCGCCGTAGAAGATCCCGAATGTCGAACTTGCTGGGGCCCAAAGCTCAATCCAATAGTACTCTGGTGAAACGAAGCATGATCAAAGCCTGACGGCCCAGCATCATTAGACAAACGGACAGATTCGAAGTTGTCAGGGCCATCGGCACTCCTGTCTCCTGTAGGCGAGTTCTCTGCAATCCGCTCGTACCGTCGCGAAAGCGGCCTGCCTATAGCCCGTATTCCCTGAACAGAGGTCTGCCTCCCCGGAAGCTCATCTTCAATCGTAGCACTCCTCGCCCGGCGTCCAGCGCCATCTGCGATCACCGTACCCGGGGGTCTCGAAAGGTCTTGGAGGGGTATCGAATGGCTGCCGGACTGGTTATTCGCATCGTAGCTGGGGTTCTCGGACGGAGCCATTTGTTATTGGCGCTTCTGCTCATCGATTCGTAGACATTGCAGCTATCGGTCCCAGGCAAGTATCGAGAGAATGTCCTATTAGCGGGCTCGCCTGGTCAGCAACAGGGCGCGGTCAAAAATCTGGCGGGTGAATGGACCGCGCGTTGTCCAGGTCGTAGGCGAGACGAAGTAACTAGGTTGAGTGCAGGTCCTGCACACGCAGCGTTGGGAAGTGCTGCAACACCGGTGCGAGATGGGTGTAAAGAGGCGGGAGGGCAAAGAAGTTGTTAGCTGGGTGTTTTCCAGAGACGAGCCCCTTCAGCTCTGCAGCAGACGAAGTTGACAACAAGCTTGCTTTGCGTCTTCCCCAGGATCTAAATTCGCCTGTCAGTTTTGGCGAGATCGTGGCTGAGAAGAGTGACGAGTTGCGTAATTGAATTACATACACATAAATTACACGCAAAAGTGCAGATTATATATGGGTAATACGGATACAGAATACAGATACGACGATGAGAGTGGCTTGGAGAATCATTTGTCCTTCACGAATTGGACATGGAGTTGTTTCTAAGAATAACTAGCGGCCTTGTAGCCAACTAATCAGAGCATCTCTTCGATGGCACTGGTTGTTCGCATCAGGGGTTGGGGGCTTGGGGCTAAGCTAAGACGGCTGGTCCAGGGGAGAGATAGAGCTATTTGTGAAGATCTGAAAGGTAGGGACCGTTGAAAGCCGCTATCTCAGTCTGTCTCCATGCTATCACCCTTCTGGTTGTCCTCTACTTGCTGCCGGACGCCTTCGACAAACGCTTTGACAGCCTCTCCTCCTCCCAGCGGGACACCGCCGCGACGCATGAAACCGCCATTCTGGACCGGGATCTTGAGTGCGTCGCTAATGCTGGGAAGCCCTCCGTCTCTGATAGCCATGGTGAGGCTACCCAGGCTCTGTGCAAACTGTGGAGAGCGAAGGACCTTACGGAGGGCGTTACGTTTCTTGTCGACGCTAATACGCTCGACTGGTGCGTTGTTATTTTGCTTGGAGAGGAGCTGCAACGACTCGGGAAGAGAACTGAGCAGCTGGTTGAGGGTGCTCTCGTCTGCCGATTCAAGGAAAGGTAGGGTCGATTGGGTCGATAACAGATCGGCAAGAGTCGTGTACCGTGATTCTGTCGTCTCTTGCTGGCTATTATTATTGCCTTGCAAGGACTGAAGGAAGTTTTGTACAACGGAGGAGGGATCCGAACCGGCGGCACTATAAGCTCTCTCAAGTTAGTATGGTGCATGCAGCTGAAAAAATAAGCAAAATACATATATTCGGCACGCAGCAAAACAAAAAAAAAAAAAACCGCAGAGATTTAAATGTTGGGCGTATACAGCCAAAAGTCAAATAACGTAACTGGCATAACATCAAAACTATACGCAGGCTCTGGCGATGCTCTGAGTTTTCTAGATCATAAACAGAGCAGCAGGGAGGATAGCAAGAGATGCAACAAAAAAGAAAATGCTGTGCCGAGAGTAATACCTACGCTCGTCCGCCATCTGCTCCCCCCTCTCTTGATTCTTGACCTTCTTCTCGTATGTCACCGCCCGTAGCACCAGGCCCGGCACCTCCGCTGCCACCATGTCGTCGTCTCTCAGGGCTATGGTCTGTTCCCTCTACGTCTTCCATGGTCTCGTCATCATCACCACCATCATTACCACCGTCTCCCCTGGGCAGGCTGTCAATGGCGTCTTGCACATCGATATCTTCGCCCTGCAGCAGGGTGTTGACGATCTGGCCCAGCTTTAGATCTCGCGCACTGAACCACGCTGGGTTGCCCTGCTCATGCTGACTCCGAGATTGCAGCCAGAAAAGGTGTCTCTGCGAGCTGGAAGCAAACTTCAAAACGTATATTCTGCCGTTCGTGGGCTGTTCGGGGTTGGACGGTCTCTGGGCGCTGGTGGGCTTGTATGGCGTGAAGGTTCCGTCGGAAGGCACCATGACCAGGTCGAGCTCCGGTTGATCTATGGGTGCCGAACGCGGCCGCCAGCAGAAATGGACAAGGTCATCTTCTGAGTAGAGGTAGATGTATCCGGGCGTAGGCCGGGCCTTGACGGCGTTTGGGGTAACGGAGGTCTGTCTGCCTGTTAGCACCTTTCCAGCTCGGCCATGTACAGAAAACGCACATCTAGTTCGCAGATGCCACCCTTGAAGGTGATAATCGGTGCTATCGACATGTCCGCTTCGTCGTCTCGTCTTCTCGTCTGCTTCTTCTTCTTCTTCGTCTTCGTCTTCCGCTTCCCGCCGGTCTCGTCCTTGTCGTTCGTTCGCTTGACTTTCTGCTTGTTGTTGCTTCTTTTTGGCCGCCGGCTGGTCCAAGCGCTGCTGACTAAGGATCATCCAATGACTAATTACTTACTAACAGACTTCCAGTCACCTTACTCATCCGGAGAAATGAAAGGCCGAAATAGTCCCAAAGCGGCCTAGCGCCCTCGGCTAGAACTAGGGCACTTTGTGCGCTTCCCACAAAATATCGAACAAGCGCAAAGCGAGAAGTCGAACTTCGAACTTCCAGATCTTCAACAACGACAAAAACCACCACCACCCACCGTCGCCGTCGACCACCCCCGGGAATCCCGCAGTCTTGCAATTCTCGTTTCCCAAATCTTCGTCACATAAAGCCAACATGTCGGCGTCTGGCCAGACGAAGAAGTTCGGAAAGGGCGAGAGGACCGTCCCGACCCAGAAGGCACAGAAGTGGTATCCTGTTGATGACGAGCCTCAGCCAAAGAAAGTCAGTATACCAGCGTCGACGCCCTGTTGCAGTCGTTTTGCAGATGCTCGAGGAGCAGCCGAGAGGAGAATCTGCTGTTTTTGGCGATAATATCTCCCAATTTCCAAGAGAATTGCGATATACAATTGGAACGGCGAAATATAAATATATATATGTCGATATATATTTTTGATATATAAATATCACGAATTGTGGAAGACTGCGGTTACTGACATGGACGTTTAACTACAGGTTCGCAAGTCCGTCAACCCCGCTAAGCCACGCGCCAGTCTCCAGCCGGGCACTATCCTCATCCTCCTCGCTGGCCGTTTCCGTGGCAAGCGTGTTGTCCTCCTCAAGCACCTCCCACAGGGTGTCCTCCTCGTTACCGGTCCCTACAAGCTCAACGGTGTCCCACTCCGACGAGTCAATGCCCGATATGTCATTGCCACCAGCGCATCCGTCAAGCTGACCGGCCTTGACGAGAAGACTTTGGAGAAGGTCTCTCAGCCCGGATATTTCACCGCCGGCAAGAGCACTGAGAAGAAGGGAGAGGAGGCTTTCTTCAAGCAAGGAGAAGCACCTGAGGTATGTACAACGGGAATCTTTGGGGCGGACAAAGCAGAATAGAGGACAATTACTGATATGTATTGCTTCCCCATATAGAAGAAGAAGACCACAAGCGAACGTGCCAGCGACCAAAAGGCCGTCGATTCGGCCCTTTTGGCCACCATCAAGAAGGAGGAGTTCCTCGACAGCTACCTTGCCTCCAGCTTCAGCCTACGGAAGGGTGACAGACCCCATGAGATGAAGTGGTAGATTCGGGAGTGTGGTGGTTTCATGGCCGTTAAAATAATGTCTTCTGTTCTCTCTTCTTTTCACTAAGCGGAGATTCCTTGTATGTTGCCAGGGAGGGAATATGCAACACAACGCCCTCAACTTGACGTGTGTATGTTCTTGCGTTCTTTAAAGCAATGCTCCTCCGTCACACCGATATGGCGTGTTTCCCACCGAAATATCAAAATTTCCAAAGAAATTAAGGGCCTTGGTTGCAATATTCCAGACACCTTGCAATATAATACAAACAAAACCGATGACGACCAAACAAGCAACCTCTTTCTCTGTTTCTTCTCCACCTTCTGACATGAGCGAGACCTGTCTTCCTGATCGAACATCCCATACCACATACCTATATCTCTACCCGTTGTCCAATACACTCCCCTATTTTACCTTTTGTCTTTACAAACCGCTCATAAACATGTCACTATTACCAATAAAATCGCAATGACTGGATGGCATTTTGGTTCTTTCACCTCCACTGATCATTTGGTATCAAGAAACATTAAATGTTTTATCCAAAAATAATAATAACTTCATTAGTTAGTGTACATTTTCTCTGGTCTTCCGGCGGTGGCTTCGCCTTGGCTTCTTTTCAACAAGCTTCTCAGCAATGCTTTCGCCGTTAGACTGCTCGGGAATATCATCTTCCAACTCGTCCCCTATAGATGTTCCAAATAACCAATCCATTATCCCCAAAGGCGCATAGTTGCCATGCCCCCCATGCAAGAGATGCAGGTCCACTCGTCTAGCTATACCGCCAATAAAGAAACTCGTTGGCATCGGCTTATACCCCGAATGCGCGAACGTTTCCTCTAATGATACAATGCTGAGATAGAGCATGTATGTCAGTAGGTGGCATCTGAATGCTGCTGCTGGCAGGAATGTAGGAAGGAAGTGCCGGAGTAAGTATGCGACCGGGTGGTCGTAGTGAGCGGTTAGCGGGTACGGAGTGTGTATCGAATGGTACCAGTCGTTATGATATTGCTGGAAGGGTGTCCACGAATGCAGAGCATAGCGATGAACAAGGTATTGCAGTATCTGGATAAGACGTCAGTCTCTGGCCGTCTATGAAAAGCAGCTTGTAAACATACCTCCCGAATTATCAACGCCCTCCCCACTCCCTTGATAATATCCCACGGCAGCGGCAGCTTCGTCGTCACCTTCAGCCGACTCTTCACCCCCAGTACTCTCGTCAAAACAAATTCAATAAGTCCCTGTGCTGCTATGCCCAGAATCAAATTGAATATAGCCCAGCCAGCCACCTTAAGCTCCGAACTGCCATATTTCTTCTTCTTCCCTTGTGGCAGGCCGTCTTTACCGTATACCTTCAACACCACCGAGGCAGAGGGAATTAGGATATCGAATAAGAAGAACAAGACGGACGGTATGAAGTAAAATATCAATCGGACGGCCGTGGTACCGACGAGCTCAACTTTCAAAGGGCCGTGGGAGAGAACGAGGGTCGTCCACGTGAGGTAGAAGAAGATCAGGTTCAGGCTCGTTCCATACGAAGACATGGACGGTATCAGCAGATATGATAGCACTGGAATCGAGAGGAGCGCACCCATCGCTGACCGGACTGTTGCGACGGGAAGCCGGTGAGCCTGGCTATGCGATGTTTCTGTTTAGATATATATTTTTTTTGCGACAAGGATCTTCCAGTTGGTCAACGAGCTAGACGGCTTGTTACGTCATTCGTCTTATCCACACAGACCTGCTAACTATTCCATGCTCTTCATTTGATGCTTGGAATATCGTGCTATAGCTACAGGCCGAGTGGCGGCCCGTCTTTCGTCATGATAGAGCCGGTGGAAGCCATTATCTACTATCCTGCCACGCACTGTGCAACGCGGAGAAGAGCCGTGCGACTACATAGTTCTACTATCACAGCTAGCACTGACTAGTCTGTTTGAAGCAAATATTCAAGGAAATAATAATAATAATTTTATGAATCTTAGGGCAATCTGTGGTTGAGGTAAGGTGCAGCTCCAGGTACGCCTTCAGGGTTAACCAGTAATTTCACATCACCAGGCAATGGAGGCTATCAACGAGGTTTGGGAACTCCATGAGTTCGACCCCAGTTCCATGCTTTCCCTGCCAAATCCGGGATAACAAAGATGAATGCAATGGCGCTGACCATGCTAATAAGGGTGTCGATGATGATGTTGTTTCGAGGGCTACTTCCCATCGCAGCTCCCTTCATCAAAGCCCCAATTAACATAGTAGTAATCATATATTCACCCTTCTCAAGTCCCTTTATGGATATCTTAGCAACCTCTTCCGGTGTCTGGGGCTTGTCGGCTTCCTCTAACAGTTTGGTCAGGTCCGGCTTAATGGTTTGTTCGTGGGCAAATCCAGGCGAGAGGATCCCCATTGGGTAAACGATATGGATCTTGACATCAGCAGCTGGAGCTGGTTGTTGCAGATTCTTCCTTGATCCATTGTATACTTCAATCTCTTGTGCGAGGGTGTCTGCCAGAGCTCTCATGGCGGCCTTTGCAGGACTGTAAGGGCCATAGCCAGCCAAGGGCACAAACACGGCAGCTGAAGAGGTGAAGATGATGTGGCGGGGAGAAGATTTTGTGTTTCTTGAACTGGGGTCAACTGGGGACAGCCATCTGCTAAGAGTCGAGTGCGCGGTAAAGGCAGCAGTCCAGTAGATTGTGTCCATCTGGGACTTTAGAGTCTCTGGCGGAGTGGTGACGAAGAATCCAGGCAGCGACATCCCAGCACAGCACCAGACAATATCAGGAGGCTGGCCGCCGTTCCATTTGCTGACTTCTTCCAGGGCATACTCGGTTCCTTCGTGGTCTTTGAGGTCTGCGCTGACATAGTGAAATTTCTGCCTCTCCGGGTATAAAGCTGCAGCCTGTGTAAAACATGAGAAAACGGCCATTCAGATGTGCTGCTCGTCAATATGCATACGCACTTTGATGTCATTCAATGCAGCCTCAAGCTTGGATACAGTTCGAGATACGATGACAACGTTGGCGCCTTTCTTCGATAGCTCGATGGCAACGCTTCGGCCCATTCCCTCTGAGCCTCCAGTGATGAGAACCGTCTAAGCCTATATCAGCCATACGTCAAATATGTCATCTATGTCACCAGCACCCACGTACCTGTCCATCGACCTGGAATTGGTTCTTCCCGCCAAAACCAAACATCGGTGCTGCCAGGTATATAAAGACGCCAAAGAGCAAGACTGCCGCAATCGACTGAACACTCGGATATGCTATCCCTTCCATACAGACGGCTTCACGCCAGAGTTACCTACTTAGAAATATCTGGATCCTACACAATCTTCGGGGTCTATGTGATCTTAGAAATGAATGAGGAGGTTGGGTATTGATTTGTAGAAACGTCTTCAGGGGCTCACAATTAACTAACTAGCGAGAAGTACCGTGCATCTCAATAATTCCTTCTTCAAGTTACGAGAAACACTAAATTTACGTAACCCTCAACGCAAAGTATCTAAACTAAACGACCTCCCTAATAAACATATGGCATATACTGCTTCTACCCGTTAATTTACTTTATCAATTAGTTATAAGAAGTTGACAGGAATTATTAAAAATGTTCGAAAGACGTTGCAATGAAATAACTACCTTACTATTACGTACGATCACCATATACTAGTTTTTTATCGATAACCGTAATTAATACCAAAATTACACTATACCTAATTAAGTTAAACCTCGGCTGCTCCACCAGACTTTGTGGTAATTTTTGTAATTTTTTTTTTTTTTTTTTTGGAAGCTCGAAGTTGACATTTTTGATTATCAAGTTTGATCTTGCGGCAGGCGTTGGGAAGGGAAGATAATTCAGGACACACTACTCTCTTCATAAAATATCATGGCAAAGAAGAGAAAGGCCGGCGGAACTGCCCTGGCTCACCGCAGCAAGAATCCTATTGAAGACGAAAACTCAAGGTTCGCGGCAGATGCACGATTTGAGAACTCTGAAGATGAATTCGAAGCTGGACGGGACCGTGTTTTGCTCGAAGAACGCCCGGAGGTGAAGCGCAGGCGGAAGCTAGAGGAAGATGGTATTTGCGCGTTCTCTTTTTCTCATAAAACTTCGCCTGAGTACTAACTTTGAATATCTAGAGCGGTTACTACAACTATCAGACGAAGAGGTTCACGGGTACCTATCCGAGTCAGCATCGGAGGATGATTATGATTACGGGGGTGAAGAAGGGGAAGAAGAGGTAGAAAAGGGAGACAAAAGCGCACAATCAAAGAAGAAACTTCCGAAGCTACGACGAAGAGAAGAACTGAGTCCCGACCTCTTTGATGATGGCAAGAAACCAGAGGAAGACGAGGAAGAAGGGATCACCGCATGGGGAGCATCGAAATCGGACTACTACAATGCGGACACGATTGAGACAGAGGGGGATGCGCTGGAAGAAGAGGAAGAAGCCAAGAAGATCCAGCTGAAAAAACTACAGTCCATGACGGATGCTGATTTCGGATTTGATGAATCCGAATGGCTTGACAGTATAATAGGGGATGGGGAAACATCGAGAGATTCCATAGCGCATGGAAAAACCATCACAGAGGTACTCCCAGAAATACAAATACCTGATGACATGAGTGTCGAGGAGAGGTTGGATATTTTATCGAAGCGGTACCCTGAGTTTATACCTTTGTCACGGGATTATGCAGACCTTCAGCCTCGATACCAGGAACTATCTGTGGCAGCTGATGGGTCCCGGAAGTCTCGCAAGGAAACCCCGGATGAGAAGACACCACTATCCGTCTTGCAATTCCGTGCATTAGCTGCCTATCTTGGAGTCATTAGCATGTATTTTGTGCTTTTGACTTCCCCTGCTCGAAATGGTACTGAAAGCTGTCTAGCCTTACCACCAGCGGAGCTCAGAGAACACCCTGTGATGGAGGTACTGGTTGCCTGTCGCAAAACTTGGGAACAAGTAAAAGACTTACAAGAGATTGAAGAAGCACCATCTGATATTGAAAAAGAGGAGGAAATTTCCATCGCAATTCCAGCCAAAAAATCTTCACTAGACAAACCATCAAAGGTAGCCAAAGCTGCGAAAATACCCAAAAAATCAAAGGCTCAGAAATTGATGGAAGAGGCGCAGGCAGTTGTCGAGTCGCAGCGTGCTGAAAAACTCAACCAGACTGAGCTTGGCCTACAGGAATTATCTAGGCTGCTGGAGCAGGGAAATTCGTCAAGGTTAGCTTCGCAGCGTGAGCCACGACTTCATGACGATGACTCCGATTTTGGAGACGAGACTAGACTTACTGCTCACGAAGCAGCCGAGAAAGCGAAGAAGAAGAAATCACTACGCTTTTATACCTCCCAGATCGCCCAAAAAGCAAACAAGCGCGATGCTGCCGGTAGACATGCTGGTGGAGATACAGATCTACCATACAAAGAACGAAACAAGGACTGTCAGGCTCGTCTTAATGAGGAGGCACAGAGGAGAGGGCGCATGGAAGCAAATGAGAAGGAGCGCCTTGGCGGTGACAGTGATGAAGATGACTATCAGGTGGCCAGAGAAGTCCGGGGTGAGATGGATGGATCTAACAGCGACGATTACTATGACATGGTTGCCTCTCGTCAGAAGCAAAAGAAAGCTGACAAGAAGGCATTATCGGAGGCGCGTGCCCTTGCTGCTAAGGAGGGTGGCCGCGTGGAGATTCAAGAGGAGATTGGCCCTGATGGCAAACGTGCTATCACCTATGCTATTGAAAAGAACAAAGGATTGGCACCAAAACGAAGCAAAGATGTGCGAAATCCTAGGGTGAAGAAGAGAAAGAAGTTCGAGGCCAAGAAGAAGAAGCTTGGAAGCATGAAGCAGATCTACAAGGGTGGTGAAGGCCGTGGTGGATATGGCGGAGAGTTGACAGGTATCAAGAAGAATTTGGTGAAGAGTGTAAAATTATAGAGGGTGTCGTCGTTTGGTATAAAATATAAAAGGGAAACGATTAATGATAACATAATCATGGCAAATTACATACCAGTAGGGAGAGATTAAGGTGACAGGAGAGATGGGGAATTTACTGCAAGGGGTGGGCTATTCTCTATGTTCTCATCCGACTCCATAACATAGGAGACTTCCTCCCCCCTACTCCCTATTATCTCCTCTAGGAGTGATCTGGCGTACCTTGTTGACGTTTCCTCTCCTGAACCAATATTTGAAAAGTCGGCTTCCAGGAATTTCCTTGCCAGATGCTCCTAATTCAGTTGAGCGCCGGTTAGGTGCTGCGGGATAATGCACTGACTACACTTATAGGTATCAGGAGTAAGGTTGGAGTAGTACATACCGCCTTTTCAAGCTCTTCCACCTCTCTTGCGGTCAGGCTTGCGCAACTAGCTACCAGATCTTCCTTGCGATGTATCAATGCTTCTATTTCCCGTGCGCGAGAGACTATTTCAGGATCTATCCCTGCCATTGCAGCACAGCTAGGAGGACCGTTAATTATGTCACTATCAGGATATAGTACGTAAACATACTTAGTTCCAAAGCTTGAGCTACTTCTTCCCAGCCGGAAACTACTAGAAGGTCAGCATTTGCATTTCTTAATGGTCTAAATAATGATATCTCACTTATAGAGGTATGTGACTTGATCCTCAATATTCTGAGCGGAACGATTGATTTGGACTTCCATGTGACCAAATTCTAACTCTGGACGTGGTTTGAGGAATCCATTTTCGAATATCTCATGGAAATGGGTAGCTGCAATCACCTTTGGGCGCTGATCTCCCATACTTAAGACGTATTCAAACAACCCACAGGCCAGACCTGCACCATCTACGATCCTGAGTTAGCACTAGCCTGGTGTTATCTGGGGGGAGAAACTTTACCAGATGATTCAGTGCCTTTTCCGAATTCATCAATAATTATCAAACTTCTATTGGTAGCTTGATTTAGGGCATATGATACTTGTTGAAGATCGTTCGCAAATGTACTTTGAACCTGATGTTGTAAGAATCATATATATTGTGCAGCAAGTATCACATACCTTTGAAACCGTCTCTCGAGTTGATATTCTAGTCAATATCCTATCAGTATAGCCAATTATGGCACTATCAGCAGGGACAAAGCTGGGAAGTAGTTAGACTTTTGAAGGATAGTAGCTGAGAATTGGTATTAACCTTCCAATATGAGCCATATAAACAATAATAGCAACCTATACAGGGTTAAATTCTAGTCAGGCTATCTGGACAGAGAAGCGTGGCTTACCTGGCTGAGGTAGACGCTCTTCCCTGAGAAATTTGGACCGGTCAACAGGAGCATGCTTGGCCCCTGAGCTGTATCTCCTGCAGGATGTGGGCCAGTATTAGGGGGCAGATCATTTGGGGTATCCTCCATGGGCCCTTTCCCGCCGACAATGAATGTATCATTGGGTACAAATGATGACACTGTCGCTTCATGGAGCATATGACTATGGAGGGTTAACAGCCTCGTTACGAGAAGAGGGCAATAATGGAAACCTACCGACCACTTTTGATGGATATTATATTCTCCTCGGTCATGTGAGGCCTTACAAGTTTGTGCAAACTAGCACCCTGGACTAGAGCCAGAAGACTATTCTAGTCATGAGAAAAGGCTGAAAGCTAGGATCTAGGAATGGCATACCTATCAATCTCCCCACATATATCAGACGCTTCAACGAGCATCTTCTCGTATGTCAAGATATCTTGTGCAAGTTTATAAACGATTTCTATTTCCTTCTCTGAATATTGTAAGTGATATAAACAGAGATTTGGAATGCTGTATTCAAAACTTACCACAGATCAATCCGTATATATCACCGAGTTTCACATCCATTTCACGCATTCTTGAGTCTTTAAAATAAGCTCTATTTTCCGTGTTGAATACCTGAGTCCAGTCCTCGTCGTTTGGACCATACATGGGTATACCCCTATCGTCAAATGGCATGGCAATATTGAAGCCAAGCTGTGGGAAATAAACGACATTGATCTCCTTAGTTATGCTCTCTGGGAGGGATGTGGCAATATTGATAGCGACCTGGTTGAGCAAGCTATCCATGCCGCTATAGATCTCCTTCAGATTGTCCAGTTCCTGATCAATTCCAGGTCGAACCACTGTGCGATGCTCCTCGACAGAAAGAGAAAGGTCAACCTAGTGACCGGTTAGCTGGAATAGAAAACTATCAGGGTTTTTCATACTATCTCATGGATTTTAGCCCCAACCTGATGTAACTGCAGCAGATCAAGCTTTAGTAGTGCCTACAAAACAACAAGCAGTCAGAACTGTCAAGTCAACGATGTTTGATTTTCACCAGCCCACCTTCATGCAAACGTCTAGTGCTTGAACTCCAGTAACCTCCTTCAAAGCTTGATTAACATCAATGGCATGAAACGCAAACTATAACTCATGTTAGTTCCTATTTAGAGCCAGTCACTATATATAAGGATTTGAGGCAATAGACATACATCAAGTAGACTGGACCACACTACACCTTTAAACCCTCTGAACTTCGCACTTCCAGTACTAATTCCTTTTCGCAGATGAACCATAACTGGTCTCATATTCTTAATATTCTTCAAGCTTTTGACAAGTTGTCCGAGGGAGGGGTCATTTTCCGACCGTAAAAAGACACTGAGGAATTCATGTCTCTGGCCAATTACGGTGGGATCAGTACTTGGGCGAAGAAAAACCTGCTTTAGCAAGCGTTTCCCTTGGGGTGTTCTTGCAAAATGGTGGAAGAGACCATATATAGATAACCCTTCCTTGGACCCTGATGACGTTTTGCCTGGGCCTTGATTGAAGGCGTTTGGATGGGACTCGGACTGTAGTATTTGAAGGGAAGACAGGGTATCTCTATTGATGAGCCTGTGCTTATATGTTAACTCAATTTGTTATAATAATGCCGAAGAGAATACTGACATTGTGTTTTGTAGGCTAATCATCCCAACAGCACTAATACCGATTGCGGGAGCGACTAATGAGCCATGTTGCAGGGATAAAGTAGCGCGCTTCCTTTGCAAATACGTGAGGATCGCTCCTGCACAACCGACGGATAGACGGTTTTCCATATCAATAACCCCACCGATGTTCAATAAATCGCCTTGCTGTTCTGTGAAGTCAATATTTTCCCCTGTAACATTACCGTCATGAGAGAAGCCTGTCCCCGGTATAAGAAACTTAAACGTTTCATTAGACTCGGAGTTGAATTTGAAAGCTGCGAGTTTCATCTTTGCATTTTCAAATCCAAACTCTTGGGTTGGACGCACGTCTAGCAGGTATGGTAGCTGGAGATGCGAGTCTAGGGCATCGTTAGTTAAATATTGTACTTGCTTCTATCGAGTGATGGAAGGCTAACCGGCGTCAGAGGTAGCATGACTTGTGCTTCCTGCGTTTGTAGGGTCTTCTAACCCCTGATCAGCCCGCAGAGACAGCAGCAGCACTGTGGGTTCAATTTCTAGTTTTACTAGTCATAAGGGAATTTAGTAGACCATAAGAGTGACAGGTGCAGAGTCTCCACGTACAGATGTCAATAACATCATGCCCACCATAGACAATATCCTCCATGACGTATATTTTTTCTTCCTGAGCGGAATAATAACTGCAGCCAATTGTTCCTCGGTCCTTCATATCTACGGCCATGACGACCCTGCAAAGCTCCTCATCGTCATCGTCCAATCGCTCCTCCTGGGTGGTAGCTTGACTATGTGGCAATGCATTGGAGGGAAGATTTTCATTTTCATTCTGGAGATTTCTGCTGGTTGCGACCGAAGTGGCCCTGGAGTAAGATGGCCGTGACGAAATATAGTGGGTATCTTGGCTTGAGGTTCTGTTTCCACGAGACCTTCGGGTAAAGTACCCTCTTCCACGGCCTTTGGCGAATGGATACCTCCTCTGCCTGGCTTGGAATGACCGTGCCATGTTGCGGTGCGGTTGTGTATTCTTGATAATCTTTTATCAAGAGAAAAGAGAATGGAGGTTGGAGTTGTCTCCCATGACTTGATGTTGATTTAAGCTTAATTGGGCATTACCCGATTAAGATAGAAACAAAAGTGGCATTGGTCCAAGGTAACTGTTCCTTGTAAACGAAAATGATAATTTAGAGCAATATACTAAATAGAGTAGGGGCTCTTCCATTGATATGAGAACATAAAGAAAAGAGATTCATGGTATAATGCTACATAATAATACAAACTAATATCATAATCATACATGATAGCGCGGAGGCTCAGGCTGACTTTTCAGTTGCGATATCCAATCCCGTTTTGTCTTCATTGAAGATAGCGGTAGCTGTTTGACCAGAAACAACTTGTCCCCGAGTGATTTTATCCGCAAGATGATTGCCGATTTCCTTGGAAATGAGCCTGTTCAACGGTCTGGCACCGTACTTGGGATCATAGCCTTTTTCACAGAGCCAATCTTTGATTTCGTCGCTCACACTAAGAGTTATTCGCCGATCATCTAGTCTATCCTGGAGTTCCTTGACGCGAATGTCGACGATATCCCGCAGAGCGGATCGCGACAATCGCTTGAATAAGATGAATTCATCTATTCTGTTAAGGAACTCAGGTGGGTATGATGACTGGACAATTCCCATTACTGCTGACTTCATTTCGGGAGAAATATCCTCACCTTCAGAAGCATCTGCTGAAACAAGCACCTCAGCGCCTAAATTGGATGTAAGGACAATGAGGGTATTGCGGAAGTCGATTTTATGACCCTGAGCGTCAGTGAGGAAGCCTTCGTCCAGCACCTGAAGTAGAAGAGCAGAAATGTCACGATGAGCCTTTTCAAACTCATCGAAGAGGAGCACAGCGTATGGTTTTCTGCGAACGGCTTCAGTTAGTTGGCCAGCATCATCATAACCCACGTATCCAGCTGGAGATCCGATAAGCCGGCTGACAGTATGTTTCTCCTGGAATTCACTCATGTCGAAACGGATAACGGCGGTTTCAGTTGAGAAAAGGAAACCAGCCATCTTTTTGCATAATTCAGTTTTGCCAACACCGGTGGGCCCAAGGAACATGAAGGATGCTAAGGGCCGGTTTTCACCACTGAGACCGGCTCTCTGCATCCTTACGGCGTTTGCTACCGCTTCTAGGGCTTCGTCTTGACCACGAACGGATTTGCGGAGAGTATCCTCCATGTGGATTAACTTCTCGACCTCCCCGGACATCAGTTTGTTGACCGGGATACCTGTCGTGCGAGAGACCACACCGGCAATGTCATCAGCGGTAACGGAGTCATGCAACAGGCTTTGTCCTTGCGTGCCTGTCGAACCAGTGTCGTCTTCTTGAGGCAGCTTCTTTTCCAGATTCGGGATCGTCGAATATCTCAGCTCACCAGCTTTTGCAAAGTTCCCTTCCAGCTGGGCTTGTTCTAGCTCACCCCTGGCCCGTTCCAGATCCTCTTTAGCTTGTTTGATAGCTTCAAGTTCCGCCTTCTCTTTATCCCATGCCTCGGTGAGTTTTCCAACGTCCTCTTGTTTGGTTTTGAGGAGTTCTTCAAGCTTCTCCCGGCGTTCCACGCTAGCTATATCCTTTTCCTTCCGGAGAGACTCTAGCTCGATTTGGATGGTCATGATCTGCCTATCAAGTTCCTGGATAGCGTCCGGTTTTGACTCTTGCTGAAGTCGTAGCGCCGAAGCAGCTTCGTCTACTAGATCGATAGCTTTGTCTGGAAGGAAACGGTCGGTGATGTATCTGTTACTGTAGGTGGCAGCAGCAACTAGAGCACCATCAGTGATTCGGACTCCATGATGGACTTCGTATTTGTCCTTGATTCCTCGAAGGATCGAAATGGTGTCTGGAACAGTCGGTTCCTCCACTAGAATGGGTTGAAATCTTCGTGCCAGCGCAACATCCTTTTCGATCTGTCTGTACTCATTGAGGGTGGTAGCACCACAACATTGAAGGTCTCCTCTTGCTAGAGCAGGCTTGATGAGGTTGCTTGCATCTATACTGCCTTCTGCCTTGCCGAGGCCGAGCAAAGTATGCAGCTCGTCGACGAAGAGAATGACACCGCCCTGGGCGTCTTCCACCTCTTTCAGAACGCGCTTCAGCCGCTCTTCAAAGTCACCTCTGAACTTGGCACCAGCAATCAGCTGTCCGAGGTCAAGAGAGACAACTCGCTTGTTCTTGACACTCTCAGGAACATCGCCTCTGACTATCCGCTGGGCTAACCCTTCGAGGACAGCAGTTTTGCCTGTGCCGGCCGCTCCGATAAGAACAGGGTTGTTCTTCGTTCTTCTCGACAAAATCTGGATCGTTCGGTGAATCTCAGCGTCTCTACCGATGACCGGATCGAGTTTTCCGTCCTTCGCTCTCGCCGTAAGGTCGACTCCAAACTGCTCCAACGCTGGCTTCTCTGGCTCACCACCAAGATTCATTCGGTGCGTGCCGCCAGGAGGATGAGGCCTGCCATTCGCATAGTGACGCACAAAACCGGATGCAGGAACATACTGCTTCGACAGTTGCCGGGGTAGCAGGCCGTATAGGCCTCTTCGCGCGGTCGTATTAATATGAGCTGCAGCTCTGGGAGCTTGAAGCAGCTGCCGGCTCCCTCGCATAACAAGACGACAAGACATGGTGTGCGCCTTCACTTGCTGGAGACCAACATACCATGCCTTGCCCTTTATATATATATATATAATATCCAACCTCTGCGATGGCCGTCCACGAGTCGACGGCCCTTCTCGAAGGCTCCAGAATGCGGCGGTCCTGTCCCAGCCGTGAAGCTCGCCGCCGAGCTCTCGTCTGGTTGCCCAAGGTAACCTTCCGCCGCGGTCACCTGACCTCTCACTAGGGAAAAAATCTTTTTCTTCTTCTTTTCGTTTCTTCCCCTCCATCAAAAAACATCCACGCAAGAAAGACACACTCGCAGAGCTCCTCGCCGCTCCCTCAATTCGCTGCACCATGGGTTTCGCCGACTTCTCTACCGACTCTGGCCTTGCCAGTGAGTGCCTCTTCGCCACCTAGCTCTGTCTGCCGGAGGCTAATCATCTTGTACAGTCGCCGACTCGTTCTTCTCGCGAAGGACCTATGTTGAGGGGTAAGCCATTACAGCCCAACCGCCCCTTTTATTCCCCTAGCATCAAGTACCAAATTCCCCCAAAACACCTCTTTTTATGATGAAAGCAAGTTGGTCCGTGTTGATGAGGCGGCTTAAGACACCGCCGAGTGATTAAAACACAATTGTCCTTGTGACGTTTCTGAAAAAAGTTATCATATATAAAAAAAAGAACACCTTCTCTGTTGCGTTGCGCTGTCCTTTTTTTACGATATTCATTCATGCAATTGTCTACCTATGCTCGGGATGAATGGCCAATGCTAACGTAAGGTACAGATACGAGCCAACTCAGGCTGATGTTGTCACTTTCAAGGCCTTCAAGTGCGAGCCAGACGCTAGCAAATACCCACACGTTGCCCGTTGGTACAAGCACGCTGCCTCCTTTGAATCAGAGTTCGCTACTCTTCCAGGAGATGCTTCCAAGGACTACACTGCCTATGGCCCGGAGAACAGCGAGCTCCCAATAAACACCAAGGAAGAGGCCCCAGCTGCTGAAGATGAAGATGATGTCGACCTCTTCGACAGCGAAGACGAGGACCCAGAGGTTGTTGCTGAGCGAGAGCGTAACCTTGCTGCCTACAGAGCTAAGAAGGCCAGCAAGCCCAAGCCAGTTGCCAAGTCCATCGTCACCCTTGACGTTAAGCCATGGGGTATGTCTGATATGGTTCTCTACTCTATTTGTTTCCCATATACTGACCCTACTTCTTCTTCTTAGATGATGAGACCAACTTGACCGAGCTTGAGGCTCACGTACGATCCATTGAGAAGGATGGTCTCGTATGGTCTGGCTCCAAGCTTGTCCCCGTTGGCTTCGGTATCAAGAAGCTGCAGATTAACCTTGTCATTGAGGATGAGAAGGTCTCCCTCTCCGACTTGCAGGAGGAGATTGAGGGCTTCGAGGACCATGTCCAGTCCACCGATGTTGTAAGTTCTTGCCCCCTTTTTTTATATAAAATGACTCAGCAGAAGCTAACCTAGTCGAACTGCAGGCTGCCATGCAAAAGCTTTAAATCAATACAACAAACAACAAAAAAATCAAAACAAATGGTAAAAGAAAAAGATACCACGTCGAGTAACCTCGCGTTTTAACATGCTATGAAACATATGATGAAGAGCAGGCGGGGATCATGAACTTCTGGCTCTAGGATGCCGAATATTCCCTTTGTCGAAAGCACGCGTAGTACAGAAAATGCTAGACAGTCCTGCTTATGTTTATTGACGTTAATGAAAATTCAAATGACTCGACCAGTAGTTTTTTTCTTCCTCTCACGCCGTAGAGTAGCTTGAATTCGTCTTGTAAAACGTTAAGAATCAAACTTGCCGACGCTTATCGGGCAGCAACTTATCCAAAGCTAAAAAGTGCGATGCAAACAAGACAAACATCCACCAAGCTCGTCCTTCCAAGCTCCAGCAAGAACAACTCGCAGTGTTAATTATCGTAACCACCACCATCAAACGTCAACAAGATACCAGGGCGCAGCATATATCTCCGCCGCAGATAATGAGCTTATCTCGCCTAATAGTAGGCGTCGGCCTGCTTCTTCTCGCCCATGCGTAAGTGAGAGAACCGACATTCCCTGAATATTAAACCGCAGGATAAAATCCTGTACTTGAGCGATATGCAGATAGCTAACTATAGCTTACTACTAGGGGGTACTCTACACATGAACATTCGACATTATACGGCAGCCTCCATTCTCTTCCGGCGGATATCACGCTCGAGACGCTTGTGTCAGTGATAATGGTGACGGCGGGGTTGGTTATGGGATCTGAGAAGCTACGGCCGATTAGCTGGAGTTCTTGGGCAGGCGAGATAGAGAAGCGAGGCGGTGCAGAGAATCCGTTTAGAGGACTAGAAGAACGGATGGGATTTCTTGATATCAGGGTTTGTTCTGCCAGGAGCTAGCTGACACTCGGCTGTGGATGGGATGAGTTGTATACGTCATTCTGCGAGCTACGTTTTACTGACTTGTCTGGGTTCTCTTATTCTATCTAGGCCAAGCGAAGGGAGTTTGCGGACTGGATTCGTGAGAAAGGTGTATCTGCTGACTTGAAGCAGTAGGTGTGCATGTGTATATCTGTGGCTGGACGAATATAGAGTGTGTTTATCGTCACATATCGACAGAATCAGACAGGGCGTACTCCATCCGGAGTAGACTCCGTGCACCCCCAAAACTATGATAAGTGGTCATTTGACGTAATACCACGGCCATGCGTAATTGAAGTGCGAGACTGGAGTGGCTGGTTGCAAGTATGTGTTGATATGGAAGTATCTCCGCATATGCAGGCAAGCTGCTGCCCCAACCTCAAACGGGGAAGATGGATGGATATGCGATCTTGGCAGCTGGAACTTGCTCGAAATATCGTCCCCTCTCTGTAAGATAGCAGTAGTATTGACTCAGTAGTACGGAGTAGTGTCTCCTCCGAAACGGTACTTAAACGGCGGAACTACGGATAATCCAGAGAATTGACGCTGTTTTGCGCAGTGAGGCATGCCCAGTATTACTATATATAGGGAATGAGCCGGAGTCAGATAATATGATAGGCACATACGGAGTACGGAGTACTCCCTCACACATCCATCCCCCCGAGCAGTTTGTGCGTGGCGATGATGAAACTGATGCTGCTCTGCTGCCAACCCGACCGTAGCCAATAATGGGGGACCTGGATGCCCTGAAATATTATATAAGCCTGGGAGAATTAATTAACGACGGGTATGTGCAAGAGCCCTGTCGGCCAATATGTTTCTCATGCGCACCAAGAGGGGAGAGAAGCCCACGGAGTACCTATTAAGCAATCTGGCACCTGGACAACTTCTCCATAGTCAAGACCGAGCTGGAGTCTGCCCGTTAAAGAAGCCCAATCAATAGATTACGATGTAACGCATTTATCAGGCTCCATAATAAGAGATCATATCGAAAGAGATACCCGTATATGGAGTACGAAGCAGCTGAAGGGCCAGGAAGACGCAGGAACATCGACCTGAGCTAACACGAAAGCTCCAGAAGAAACGTCCGTCTTCGATTGGATTCTTTTTTCCAGGATCCAGGATAGCCTGTATGTACTCCGTACTCCGTACTCCGTTAGCGAATAATGAAGCTTGTCATTCCCTCAAATTCTTTTCCTCCCATCGTTTTCGAGGCGAAAGGCTTGAGTTAGTTATAGTACTCCGTAGTGTCAAAGGACTGGTGAGTGTTGGTGCGAAGGAACGTCTCAGACCACAGGAGAGAAGGCAGACTGGTTCCATATTTTCCCGGTCAATTATTGCTCGCGCCAGACCCGCGCCGGCTGGGCGAGAATTCGGACTGCAAAAAAGCTCCATTTCTGTAAATTAACCAGTCTGCGCCTAAGGACGAAATTTTTCCGTTTTCTTTTTCTCGGTCTATCCTCCCTTTCTCTCTTCCCTGTTGCAAGGTGAGACCTTTTTGCGCTGTTGTGGGATTCTGGTTGGAAAGGGATGCATTATTGGCCTGTTTCTATTTTTATGGCTGGAGCTGACGAATGCGTTCCCCCCCTAAGCTTTTGCTTTGGCTAGTAAGATCGCTTGCTCTTCCGTATGGAGTATAGATAACACGACAGGGTGGTTGGGCTGGCTAGATGCATGACAAGGCGCAGTTGATGCCGTGACAAAGACAAGGGGGCACACCAACAACATCCAACCTCTTCGCCTTGATATGCTGCGGCAGACAGGTCCGCACCCAGCCGTGGGAGGGGGGAGTTGTCGTGTTTGCTTGGTGGCTGGACAAGTTGCGGCACTTCCCCTTTCTTCTCCGTACCTTGTGTATCCAAGACCAAGGCGACCAACTTGCTTTCGTGGCAGGCCGGGCGGTTTAAGCGTTCAAACTGTCAACCACCCAACGGGAAATGGGCCGGATGGCCGGTTAACCAGCGGATTCAGGAAAAAGAAACAACGCTGATGGGTCCGTATTGGCTGTCCGTGGAGCCTGCCCCTGGTCCACTTCGCAATATTATCCAGCGAGCCGCAGGTGAAACCAGAGGAAGATCGACTTTGAAATGCGCCACTAAGGCAAGGCAAAATTACGAATCACAGGGAACCTTTGTGCTTCGTTGTCTAGCCATCGGGTTTTTTTTTTCTGTTGCCGTGTCCACCTTATAAATATTCCCCATCCCTTCTCTGTCTTGCTTCTCCTTTCTTCCTCTCTCCTTTTCCCATATACATCTCCTATCCACGACTTGCAAACAACAGCTGCACTCGAGCACATATCAAATCTCGACCTTCTTAAGACATCCATTTATTCGTCGTCGCGAGTTCAGCGCAACAAGAAAAACCACACATCAAAATGCGTTTCTCTGCTGTTTCCGTCCTTGCCTTGGCTACCCTTGCCATGGCCAACTCTGAGGTATGTCCATGCGTGTATCTTTTGCGGTTTTCCAGCTGCTAACATGTTTTCCTTCAGCTCGACCCAAAGATGTCCATCCTCCCATACACCAGCAGCATGGTCATGACCTCTGCCCCTGCCCCATACCCAACTGGCGGCAGCCCAACTGGCATCCCCGGAACTGGCACTGGCTCTTCCACTATGCCACACAACACAACCAGCACCGCTGAGACCAGCACCCGAACCGGCTCTGGCCCATCCTCTTCCATGACCAGCACCTCCACCTCCACTGGTCTTGCTGCCACCGCCGGCCCAGCCATCGCCGGTGTCATCGGTGGTGCTGCCGTCGTTGCTGCTTTCCTTTAAATGCATTTATTCCTCTGCAATGGGAGAGTTCCCCGTTCCTCTCTCTGGGCCACATTACTCCTTAATCGGTCCTAAGGAACGGAGATAATCAGGACAATATTGACCCTTCCATTATTCTTGTCGTTACTTCTTGCATCCATCAATGTAGACCCTTTTTTCCTGTACTATTTCCCTTTAATCTAATATACCACGCATGTTTACTTCACTCGGCGTTAGGCCCTTTCCCGCGGTTGGGTGGCCTCTGAAATGGAATTGTTTTTTTTTTTTTTTTTTTTTTTTTTTTGGTTCTGGAACAAAAGATCTTTTGTGACGTTGCCATTCATTCGGTCATGGGCTCTTTAATTTTGATCCCTTTCTGGCCCATTGTGACTATTTTTTGTATGTTGGTGATATATGTACACTCCGTAGTTGCTAGAATATAAAGATAGCTTTTATACTTCGATACTTGGCTTAACAAACAAAACAACCCAGCGTTCATGGGGCAACTTGCCTTGGGGATAGACTCTCTCGTTGCCCTGCCGCCAGCTGTTGTTGACAGGAGGGGCACTCTCGCAGCGTGCCAGGGGGGCCCCTCGTCCTCGTCCCTCGCTGCCCCCGGCAACCCGTCCGCCCGCCCTGCGCGGCCGTTCCTCAGCGCCCGGCGTGATGTTGTTGTTGTTCTGTCGCTGCGAGAAACGCGAAATCAACAAGTCGCGGCGCCGTTTTCGTGTCTATTTAACCCTTTTGGGCCTAGCGCCCGTCGCCCCCCAACCTCGCATCAAAACAAACATGACGAAGTTCGACGAAGATCAACCAAAACAACAACAACAACCACGACAACGACAACAACAACGACAACAACACTGCCGCCGACAAACAGCAAACATCAGCGACGCCCAGCAGCCTAAGACAAGCAAGAGGAGAGGATATCGGCACGAAGAGTAGCGACTGCTGCGTGGTACGAAGACGCTGCAGGGTATTTTTTGCTCCCCTCCGCTGCTGTGTTCGTGGAAGAAGAAGCAGCCAGACGCACGCTGACTCTACCCGCCACGCTTGTCACAGCCGAGACGGGAAGATGGTATGACCTCCTGAGGATGATGTCAAGCACGCGGCATGGCTAACAGTCTCTCTAGGCTTCCAGCTTGAAGCGTTTGGCCAGGGAGCATGCCTCGCTCCATCACAAGGGCCTCCCGCCATATTACTGCTTTCCCAGCTCCAACCCTGCCGGCCCAGATAGCTTGACGCAGCTCACTGTGCTGCTTACCGGGCCATCGGGGACCCCCTACTCGCAGGGACTTTGGCGTCTGCAGCTTCGTCTGCCGGAAGACTACCCCGCAAGCCCGCCAAAGGCGTTTTTCAAGACGCGGATATGGCACCCGAATGTCGAGGAATCAACCGGCGCCGTCTGTGTGGACACGCTAAAGAGAGACTGGGATCCAAAGCTTACACTGAGTGATATCCTTATCGTAAGTGTCCTTTGCTCTTGACGGACTGAGAATGTGCTAATGGCTGGCTCTAGACGATATCGTGTCTTTTGATACATCCAAACCCTGATTCGGCACTAAACGCCACTGCCGGTGCTTTGCTACAGGAAAACTACGAGTCATTCGCTCGGCAGGCCAAGCTGATGACCTCTATCCATGCTCCTATCCCAGCAGATATGAAAGACCAAGTGAATGAAGCCAAAAGAGATGACAGCGTTACTGCCAGTTCAACTGGTGAAGAACAAAACGTCTCGAACAGTGACGTGCCAGTGCAGACAGTCATCATGAAACGAAAACAGCAATCAACCCCACCATTACCGGAAGAGCAACAGCCTGCTTCGGAACACCAGCAAGTGAATCAGCCAACTGAGGACTCAGATTCGGATGCAGACGCGGACTCGGATTCAGAAAACTCAGCATCCAAGGAGAATGATCCAACACTTTCAAGTTCTCCTGTCATAATGCCTGTCCGCAGCCCACGTAGCGTCCTTGAGAAACGTCCCCTATCCGTCCTTTCTGTGGCAGAGGAACCAGAGCTCGTTCTGGTAAATGATTCATCCGACGACGAAGATGGCGCAGATCAGCCGCCAGAGTTCAGTGGTATGACAGCCTCGGAAAAGAACGTAGCAGCCAACAGCCCCGACTTCGCAACTACCATACGCAGAAACAGGTCAAATTCAAAACATCAACACCAACACCCACACCAACACCAACATAACATTCCGTCTTTAAATGATCAGTCACTCCTTCTCCAACCTCGGCGAAAAGCTCCTAAACTCTCCGATTCGACAGCGAAGCGGTCGTGCATTAATATGGTCCCAGTCAGCGTCTTGGCTCCAGCGAAGACAACGGCTGAGAGGAAGCGAAGCTCCGCCGGGTCAGACGGTGGCAATTACGCGAATGCGAAACCGCTCAGCCCAATCATAAGTGCCGCTACGACCACCATGACCACAAAGGAGACAAACATGAAGCAGGCCGGTGGTCCAGCACCATTCCTGACAAGTAAAGTCGAAGCCTCGTTTTCAATGGACGATAAACTGTCTGTTCGAAGCAGCCTTGCGCCCCTTCCCCTGGCTAGGAAACCGCAACACCAACATACCTTGAGTAACCTAACGGTCAGACCGAAGCCCCGGACGGGTCTTAGGAGGTTGTAATTGATGGTGTTTCTGCAGCGACTTTTGTTTCATCCATCGTTTTTCTCCCTCCCCTGCATTGAGACATGCATACATATTTAACGAGAGCAATTGGTTTTTACTTACGATTATGATAATGATGGATTGGGATGGATTGGTCTGGCATAGTTACGGGTTGGTGGATGCAATTGCGTTATTTGGGATGAACTGTAAATGGCTACTTGGCTATATTGTGCTTGCCGTAGTTAAAGGCAATAATATGCCACGATAATCAATCAACTAAACTAGTACCTAGGCGGTCCTTTAATCGACGTTTTTTACAAAAGAGCTGAGTTAACGAGTGACTATTTTTGTATTAGGACTGACTGACTGACTATAGAAACATTAAGTCGCAGCATTGATAACAAGCCGGGGGTTTAACGATAATAATGGTAATAACAATGTCACAATGTAACAGATCGATAAGGACAAAAAGACACCATATTAGATAAACAGCTTGTTGCCAACACAACACACACTCCCTTGTGGCCAAATTGGTAAAAATGCAAGAGCAAATGCGTATAACTTATATTTTTTTTGGCGAGAGGATTTGTAGATGGGGTGGGTAGTCGTCCTGGAAATCGAGGGGTACTGGCGCAAAGGGACTTCTCCTATTCCTCCCTTTCATTATATGGTTCAAGTCGAGTGCGTTCTGCTCCAGATTCGGGAACACCTTTCCAGGCACGATAAGGGGGTGATGTATCATGACCAGATACCATAAAAAGATAAAAAGGACAAAAGCAGATAACGCCCGCAATGAGTATCCGATACCGATGATGAAGTAAAAGAGCGACATGTGTGATTCGGATCACACTGAGGAAACACAGATCGATTGCTGTTAATGAGCGGAATTCATCTTGGATAAATAAAGGTAGTATTGAACGTCCCGGAAACAATTTGATCGACAGTGGAAGCCACTGCCAATGTCATATTTTGATAGGAGTGTTTTCGACCAACCGCAATGGTGGGATTGAAATCCGATCCATTACTTGAGGTCGGCCCAATGATCGTATTCTTTTTTTTGTCTTACAAAGCGTAAGGGTTCATAGATCGAATAGTCAAGCAACTGTGAAGGATTATTAGTAATGGGATCATTAGAAGCAGTAGAGTAGAGTAAAACTTACGGTGGGCTCTTGCTGAGATCGATCTTGAGAATGATTGGAACGCGGGTCAGTTCCCTGACATCCTGGATATACTCGCCGTCCTCTTCGCGCAATTCGAAAAGATCGCCATATTTCTCTTTTGGACTCAACTCGACAATTTCACCATCCTCGCCGTCCTCGCCATTCTGGGTATTCTTAGCATTTTCGCCACCCTCGGCATCTTCATCATTAGTAGTCTCGCCCGCAGTGGTTGCAATTCTGGGGTCGGATTGAGTACGGTGAGGTGGGTGTGCAGGACCATTTCGTGGAGATGGTGGCATGCTCTGTGTGGAACGGTCTGGAGAGTTGAGAGATACCCCGGCGAAGGAGTCAGTGAGGGCATCCTCATCATCGTCAAACAAAGCATCAACATCATTTGGAGAGACAGTGTTGGTCTCGGTGCTGATTCGCTGGGCTTCTTCCCTCTCCTGTTCTCTCTTTCGAGCTTCCTCCGCTTCACGGGCAGCAGCAGCCTGGCTAGCGGCACGTCCGCTGAGAGTTGACTTGGGACGCTCATCCTCGGGGATGTAGGTAGAGGACGGAACGCCCTTCTCCCAGTACAACTCTAGGACGCGGTCATCCTTGCGGAACTCTGCCTTCTTAAGAGGGAGTTGGTCACAGTGAACACGCTTCTCACAGCCATACTCGGGAATCAAAACGTCAAAGGCAGACTCGTATACGCAGAGAACGATTCCCTCGGCAATGAGGTCGCCATCAATTTCTTTTCTCTTCCTCTCCATGGCGTGGCACGCTTCAAAGTGCACACTCTGCTCCTGTGCATTTTGAGCAGAGTCTTTCCTGCTGTTAAGGTAGTTAAGTGCCTTGTAGTCTAATTCATCTTGCCACTCTGTTGTTCCTGCCAATGCTGCCTCTAGCTGTCTGTGGACAACAATGTCGGCATAGCGACGGGATGGGTTAGTGAAGTGAGTGTAAAGTGATAAGTTGAGCATGTAGTGAGAACGGTGCTCTTCCCGGACAGTTGGAGGGGTGTAATATTTTCCACGGCTCAAAGTTTTGAGCAAGAGCGTTTCCATACTCTAGAAAAATCATGTTAATCCAGTGGCTGTTGTGAATAGTGATGATGGGGAGACCATACCTTTCGCACGTCATCATTTTCCACCTTGAAAAGACTGTTCTGCAGTGTGCCACTGCTAGTAGGATCAATGTTGTACCCAAGTTTGGACATGCGCTCGACAAAGGTGCCTAGGCGTCTAAAGTTGGGCGAAGCCTGTCGGCGGAGAAGGGCATGCTCAGGGAAGGCCTCAAAGATCTTCCTCGCAACATAATGATTAGCCATGTAAGTGAGCTCGTCAATAGCTTCACGACCTGGGGAGGAATTAAATATGTTCTGCTGGACAGGAACATTCTCGTCATCAAGCTGGTATAAGAGGCGGAGAGGGCGCAATTTCTCCGCACGGTGTCCAAGACGAGCATCGCGAAGTTTGTTAGAGACATCCTATGAAAGTAGGGATTTAGTAAGACCGTCTTGGTTTACATGAATAGTATGATAGACAGTGGATACTTACAACCAACATCTTGATGTCCTTGACGGAGACACCATTGACTTCAACTTGCCCAGTCCCCTTGATGATCTTATCGAGCTCGGCATAACTTAGCTTTCCTTTGCTATTGATAATACTCTTGCCAATCCAGGGCTGATCGACAATCTTTCCAGACTCAACAACAACTTGGAGCAGGACGCTCACAGCGAGGCGATCGTTTCCAGGCAAGAGAGCCATGACTTTCTGGGCCAAGTGTGGCGGGAGCATGTCCACAATGCGATTCATCAAAAAGGCGCTGGACACACGCTTCTTAGCTTCGCGTTCGACCGCACCGCTAGGATCAACAAAGCGAGAGACATCAGCAACATGGATACCAATCTCTACTGTCTTGTCGTCAAGTCGTCTAATATGGAAGGCATTGTCCATTGCCTTGCCTCCATTGGGATCAACAGTGAAAACGTTGTATTCACGGAAATCCGTGCGGGAAGCAAGGGACTGGGGTTCCTCTTGTCCGATGGACCAATCTTCGAATCCAACCTTGTCAAGAACAGAGGCCGGGAAATCATCGGCAGCAAAGTTGTTGTCTCTAAGCAAGGCATCAATCTCAACCTTCAGGTTGCCCATTGGACCAAGCTGCTCGCAAAGGGTTCCAAATGGATGGAGCGAGGTGATGGGCCATCGCTTGACAGTAGCAACGAAAATAGTGTTTGCATAATCTGCGTGACGGTCAACGAAGTCACGAGGTGCCTGTTCAGTTGGAATAGCGATCAAAGGTACACGCTTGTCGGTGGGCTTGAACCAAACAATCTTTGGTCGTTCCTGGTGGCGCTCATGCTGAGGACGTCCAGAGTAGCCGTCTCTGGCCTGTCTTTCTGCTTCCTGCTTTTCCTTGGTTGCCTGGCTGCTGGGTCGAAGGAGTCCCAAGGAGCCAGCGAAGATCTGGTGGGCCGCACGGTCAACGACAGCGATGATATGACCTGCGTACAAGGGTTTGTGCTCATCGCTGATCTCATCTTCTTCGACAAGAAGCAAGCTCTGACCTTCGACTTCGACGTCATCATTCTTCTTCTGGGTGGGACGCTGGCGAAGACTACCTCTGCGGCGAATGCTACCGTCAGGGCCAATTTGCTGGATGTCAGCAGTAGCATTGGAGTCGGAGCGGCCACCTCGGTCAAGACCAGCTGTGCTTCCGCTTCTGGTATCAATATCCTTGCGCTTCTTCTTTTCTTCCTTTTCGCGCTTCTGGCTCCAGACTTCATCAACATCAAGGAGCTCGACGGCAACAAGATCGCCCTCGAGAGCTCGATTTCTGTCCTTGCTACCGCAGATGAAGATATCAGCGTCAAGATCAGAACAGGTAACATATGCGTCTGAACGGTTTTTCTTGTTTACGCGAAGGATGCCAGTGACCAGCTTGCCCTCCTCGAAGAGATCAGGAAGCATTGTCTGAGCAAGGTATGGAGTGAACAGAGTTTTGCGATTCTGCTGTGCCTGCGTTTGCGATTGCTGTTGTGGCTGAGAGGCTTGCTGCTGACCAACCAATTGCAGGTTCTGTGGCAAGGAACCGAGCTGTCCGCTCTGCAAGGCTTGGAGTTGTGCCAGTTGAAGGGCATTATTGTGAAGTAACTGCTGTTGTTGGCCCTGGTACATCTGAGGCAAGACAACTTGACCCTGAGGAAGCTGGAAAAGCTGCTGGGTATTGGGGAATTGGAAAGCGGACATGGAGCTAACAGATCCCCTGGAACGGTGACCTGGCTGGAAGCCGTTACCACTTTGCTGTGGCTGGGGAGAGAGGCCACCAAGGCTGGCTCGGGGGTCCTGGTTGCCACTGCCACTGCTGGCAGTGTTTGGTGCACCTCCCTGCTGGCGCCAGTTGCTGTCAAAGTTTCTTGAGCCGCTGCGTCCATGGCTGGCGTGACTGGTTCTTCGTCCAGCATCAGGTCCAGGTGAGCCGGAAGATTCACCGCCTTGGGGGAACTGGAACGAGGGGTTATTTCTCCCGGAGTACTGGCGAGCACCACCTACAGCCATGGACTGGCTGCGTAGATGAGCATTACGGATATTTCCAGAGCGTTGGACACCAAGTCCTGCTGCCAGAGGGGAAGATGCCGGTACTGCGGGGCCAGCGACTTCTGCTGGCTTGTCATCATTGGCGTCACCCTGACCCTGGCCCTGGCCTTGACTTGCAGAAGAAGGTGAAGCTCCAGCACCTCCTGGGATGGGGAACTTGAAGGCGCCGGCGGTCTGCCTTTGCTGAGCCAATTCCGCGGCCCTTCTGGCTTCGGGTAAAGCGAGCGAGTGTCGACGATGGTGGCTTCCTCCGGCAGGAACAGCCCCCCTGCGAGATTGGCTGTTATTGTTATTATTGCTATTGTTGGTATTGTTGTTGTTTTCGCGGCCTTGGCCTCCACGGCTCTGTGCGTTTTCACCGTACTGAGAACCAGACGCCCCGGAAGATGGGGCGGGCGGTGGTCCCATGCCAACATTTGGCAGGGCCGATTGATTACGGCGATGAGAGGACTGGCCGGGGACTCCAAGCTGCTGTTGGCCTTGCATTTGAGGGAATTGAAAACCTACGGGCATGACACCTTGGCCTTGCATTTGGGGATAGGCAAGGGGCTGCATCTGCTGCATCTGTTGCTGGGGTATCATGCCGATATTCAAGAACTGCTGATTTTGTTGTTGCTGGGCGGCAATTTGCTGCTGGTGTTGCTGGAGAACTTCAATTTGCTGTTGTAGAGCAAGTTGTTCCACTATTCAGAATGGGTTAGCCCACGGTATCTCTCCTATGGAGTGAATGTTATAGCCTACGTACTAATTAATGGGGTCATTTCCGAGGGGCTGCGTCGATGGCCAATGTGAATGGGGCGGCCATTCGCCCTGGGAGGGCCAGAATTGCCCTGGGAACCCTGGGAATCCATAACGACAGAAACTTTTTTCTTCCGGTGCTACTGACAAAGTCCAAAAAAAAAGGGAACAAATGTCCCAATTGAGTTATGTCCGGTAACGCGGTAAGGAGACTAGAGAAGGTAGTCTACTCGACAACCAAAAGCACCACAGAAGTGAGCTGATCCTGGCGTTTGTCTGTCAAGTGAGGCGAGTTAGAATTAAGCTGACCATGCCACTGAAGAGCAATGAGTACTGCCAACAGTTTTTTTTTTTTATCACAAACGATGGGATTCAAAGTGCTAAGGGGTAAATTAAAAAAAAAAAAAAAGAAGGCGGAGGACTGAGAGAAAGGGTATCTCCGTGATCGAGCAGATAAAAACAAGTATCAAGTATGCCGTATTCTGTGAATGTGATCCAAGATGTGTGTGCAAGTGGTATGTGAGTGTGTCAATGTGTGCAGTTTGTTTTTAGTATGCTGTGTGTCTCTCGTTTGTTTATGTTGACTCGGAGCCAAATTATGCAAAGCTTCTGGGAAGGAATGGACAGGAAGAAGGGCCGTAGAAGCTGAGGATGCAGGGAAGGAAGCAGCTGGCGGAGGAGAAGTAGACGAAGCAGACGAAGAAGAAGAAGCAAAAGGCAGCCTTTTCAGCGTCTCTTCGTTCGTCGTCTTCTTCCTCTTCTTCTGCGGATTTGTCTTGCTGCTTGGCTGATGATCTCTGCCCCGGCTTGACGCTGGGTGGGTGGTAGTGGTGCTGGTGCTGGTGATGGTGGAGAGAGCTCCGACGAGGCCACACCACAGCGTAGCAAGCTTGCACCCCCAGGAGGTCGACGGGAGCTCGGACAAGGGACTGAGCTCGTCTCCGGCGCTTGATCTCGGGCAGACGAGAGTGCGTAGGCTGTATAGCAGCACCAGTTGAATGAGGGTGGATTGTTGGGCGTGGGGGAGGCGACAGGAGGCGAACGAGGACGGCCGTCCGAGACACCAACAAAAGGAGAGGCTAACAAGCCGGCAGACACAGGCAAAGGAGAGACGGCCAGGATGCGGATGCGGCCAACGACAGCAACGACGTATGAACAAGAACAGGAATGAAGAAGAAGAAGAAGAAGAAGAGAGGGGAAGAGGAAGAGAGGAAGAGAGGGTGGTTGATGGAGGAGGTGACGGGAGCGAGGTTGACGGCGGCGGCGACGGTTTTTTAGGAGGTTTTTGTTGTTCCCGTTTAGGCTTGGGGGGGCAAAGGGCCAGGGCTTGGCGGGCAGCGCAGACTTACTTTGCTCTACTTAGACAGACGAGACAGACGTCAGAGCCAGCCGGCAGCGAGCCTGACTGCGGGCTGATTAAAGGCTGATTAATGCGGATTACTAGGCGGGTGTTGGGAGAGGTGATTCGACGGGAGGGAGGGGAGGTTATTAGGATAGGGTAAGGAGTCGGTTGTTGTGCTGGTGGTTTGCTAGGTAACTAAGGAGTCGGTGGTAGGTGATGATGATGGGTTCAACGGTTGGAACGAAGGGACAAGGAGGAAACGGTGAAGTGCGGGTGGCAGAGGGAAGAGAGCAGGAAGAGCGTCTACGCTGGAATCTACGCCGTTTTATATCTACTCTGGCAGGACGGCATTGGGACAGCTGACGGCCGTTGAGACAGGCCGAGTTGGTGATGCAATGGCGCTGGCGTGTCGGCTTGGGCTGTTGGATCGCCTCAAGACGAGCCACTGGAACGGCTATGCGTCTAATCACAGTTTATCCCTTTTCGTCTGAATGTAGCTGGCCTCCCCTCGCAGTCACTGTCGATGTCATCGTGGCTGTCAGTATCGCTGTCAATAATGTCGCTGTTGTTGTTGTTGTGTTGATATCAAGTGTTGATTGCTATGGAGCCTGCTTAGTTATCTGATCATCGCGCTTGGTTATCTTTTTTTTATTTTTTTCCCTGCGCAGCCAAAGCGTCGGGACTTCAACCAACTTCAACTCTTCAACCTCGACGAGACGGCGGCGACAACACAACCAAGAGCAGCCCCAGGAAAACGCTGCAACAGTGGTTGGCGGTAAGTTCACCCCCATTGGAACTACGGGATGTGTGTGTTTTACTAACTCCCGTTTTCAGCAGAGGTCGCCTGTTGCGTGGATCGTTTCGTCATAGCCCTACTCTCCCTCCTCCTCCGTTCTCGATAAAAGGCTGGCAACCCCCCCCGTTGTCTGGCCCTGCCCCGCAAGAAGAACACCTCCCACCTCCTTTCGGGGGAGAATCCCCTTCGAGCCTGGGGTTGGCCTGGGAAATAGCTCTCTACTGCGGCTCTTTAATTCAGTCCCGCCATTGTTGCTGGGCAGTTCCAATTGTGTCCTTTAACACTACGCCATTGCTGCTCCTCCGTCGGTTGGCTGTCTGATTTAGACTACGCTCATAGCAGCTAACGGCTGGCGTTCCCTGGGTCGCTTTGCTCTTCTGCGTGTCTGAATTGTTTGTCTCGGGCCCCGGGAAAAGGCAAATTGGACACGTCGCCGCCCACTCCCTAGACGCGTCATCGAATTTGGATATTAAAGTGCAACCAGCCAAATCATGGTTCGCGTGAACACTCTTGCTCATCGTGCGCCTGACAGCCCTAGTAGACAGCTCCTGCAGGACTTGACCAGGGATCTAGAACAGGTTCGCATACATGGCGAAGAATTAAAACTTGTCAAAGCTTACGAGAGCCGGACTTTCTACGAGAAGCTTGATCGGATAGATCGGGAGAGAGAAGAGGTTCACACCAGCGCGCTCAATGCCGCGGCGGCAAAGCGTGACCAGAGAAGGCTACAGGCAGAGGAGACGCTGCGACTTCATCTGCAGGCGGTAGAGGAAGAACGCAGACGGAAAGAAGAAGCTGAGAGACGGCGACAGGAGAAGATCAGGCAAGAAAAGGAGGAAAAAGAGCGGAAGGAGAGAGAAGAGGCTGCCAGGCTCGAAGCAGAGCGCAAAGCAAAGGAAGCAGAGAAAGCTAGACAGGCCGAAGAAGCCGAGAAGGCAAAGAAGGCCGCCGAGGAAGAGAAGGCGCGACTTCAGCGGGAAAAAGCCGAGCAAGAGAAGAAGAAGGCGGACAACGAATCGAGAATCAAAGCAGAAGAGGAGGCAAAACGGAAAGCAGCCGAGGCAAAAGAACAACAAGCGGTGACGAAACAGGCAGCTCTTGGTATCAATCATCGGACCCAGCAGGAAATCCAAGAGCATGAACGCTACCTGAAGTTACATGCTCATCTGAAGGAGTTCCGGTCCTACATGAGAGCCCAGACAAAGTCAAACGCCATCCTGAAGCAGCATATGGGTGACATGCGCAGAACTATCCGAAAGTGTGTCGGCCAATTGGTAGCAGACGATAAGACAGCAAATCAGAAACCCGTAAGTACCGCCTTTTCCCTAACAGGCAATCACTCGAATGAGATTACTGACTAATTCTCTTTCTTTTTTCAATTTTATGCAGACAAGGGAAATCGCGGCGATTTTGAAGAAGGCGCAGGAACTAGCAGAACCCAGCGTAGATATACGGCAATTCATCGCGTTTCCTCCCCCGAACATTGCAAATGCCGAAAACCCACAGGTCCCGGCTCTCTGGGTATACCTGCTGAACATCCTCGCGAAATCCGTCCTTGCACAACTTATGGCTGAAGCAGGCGTGACTACAAAATGCGCCGAACCACTAGGTGTGCTTACAGCCCAGATATTCTCTATGGATGCCTTTTGCTACCAAGGCCAATCCATGATCGACATTCTCCTGGCAAAATACAGATTCCTCTGTCCTGTGCTCTGGGGCTTCTATGGAGACCAATCAACCGATCAAGGAAAAGCAGCGATTGGTTGGTTCAGAGAAGAGAAGAACGGTCCATTCATAAGCGCTCAGCTCCACGAGGAGCGCATGACAGGCCTAGGAGCCGGATACGCAGCCATAGCATTACGAAACTTTGCTAAAAGTCCGCGTCAAAACCCTTATCCCAACAGCAATTTCTGGAAGTCACTTTCGTATATCGTCAACGTGCCTCCCGCAGAAGTGCAAGATACGCATCTTGTCGTGCTAACGGCCATGCTGCGGTATTCTGCACCCCGCATCGTTAATTTCTGGGGTGACATGGGTGTTTTGGCGCTAAGGCAAGCTATCGTTTTGTTCCCTGCAAAGCTTCCTCGCAAGTCAACGCAAAGAGCCATGGTTGAGGACCTACGAGATATACTTGCCAGGGAGAAACGCATAATCATTTAGCCACTCGACATTATTACCTCGATGTTTTATTTGCGAACGGTCACTTTTTTGCATCATATTAGCGAGCGATTTTGCTGCACATTTTTAATTACATGGCTTGCATTTAACGCTACGTCGGACTGGCCGTCGACTCAGCCACGATCTACAATTCACATACATACGCATCTACTGTGTGTAGCCATATAATTCCCCTCGGGTACCTCGCGACAAACCACCAGCGCCTCATCGCATCGTCACAGGCGCATACATCGCCCGCAAACATTCGACTTATCTAGCACCCAGCTCAAACCGTTTAGCCAGAATAACTTTACGCTTTGCGTGGCCAATATTCTTGCGCTAGTCCATTACCTTGGTGTACATTACGGAGTATTAGAGTCTGGGTTTTATTTTAGTTATTTTCTTTTCGATTCTCTTGTTGGTATTTTTCTCTCGGAGGAGTACGGTTAACTGGACCCGCGGGGCATTGGCCACTGGATATGATTTTTCTGATCAAGGGGGGAAATATAAATATGGGGTGAATTTACTGCACCTTGATGTTCGTTCGTTTTAATAGAATACTCAATTTACTTCGTACCTTTTTTCAAAACTTTTATGCATTGCATTCAAGCTACAAAGCCAAGTAAAATCCAGCCTATGGTTACTGAGAACTCTGCTCTCTTTAGACAAATATCCCTGTCTGCGAGAAACGGATAATATGATATTCATGTAGATTCTCCAATATCTATCTCTGTATAAGTATCGTCCACCCATGATCATGTATCACATTTACCGTACTTACGTATACTCGATGAAAGTCGATGAGGCCAATTCTAGCTATTGCCAGATAGTGTTAAGCTCAATCAAGTGGGGACAGAGAAAGCTAAACGGCGAAGGTTTGAGCCGCATGCTATGGGTCCACATGTCGATATGGGAGTACAACATGCTTGTCGAGAATATACACATCTAGAGGGCCTGATAAAAGCTAAGTACAAAAAATGATCTCTGTTGGGGTTTTTTTTTTTTTTTTTTCTTTAAAAAAAAAAAATTTAATTACCGTTATCAAAATTATATGACGAGCATGATGCTTCAGGATGGGTATGACGATACTGACTGAAGACAATAAAACTTTATGCGATACCTGCCATTTTGGAGTGAGAGCTAAGAATGGCGAATTCCGGTACAAGCCGTCCTAACGTATCACTTTCTCGCATGATCCTATCTATTATTTCATTTCCCGCTTTACTCCTGCCTAGAGATCTACCCCACCCTGTGTGTCAGAATCCTCGATAACAAGATAGAAATACTCACAACGGGCGTTGAGCATTATGACAGGTTATGACAAGTTTCAAATGGGCTTAAAGGATGATATTCGGACCAAAGCCTAACGTGCCGAGCGTGGGATTCACCAAAAGTACACCTCTGTAATTGAAGAGCAGAAATAGCTACAGACCATCAAAAGGCAGTATTGATCTATTAAATCTGAGGTCAATAATGAATGTCAGTTTGCATTGACG